AGTATGAACATATTTTCAAGTTTACTGCAAATTGTAAATACTTTTCTTGAAGTTATAGATATGTTTTTCGACACTACGATTGGAATAGAAGTGTAGTTTCAAATTGAACTCCATCACTCTGGTATGCTAATTTTTTTAAAAACATCCAAACAAACTGAATAGTTTTGTGTAATATTTTTTCCTTTCAAATATATATAATAAGTTGAATTGTTGTCCAATATGATACATTCTCCCTTTAATTTTCCAGTTCAATAATTACTTATGATACATTTAAATGGGGAACTTTGAAATGATATATGTAAAGCAAAGGTAGGGCTGAACTTTTCTACACATTAGAATTAGAATATTTGTATATCTTAGGTTGATGTTCATTTGATTCTCCAAAAATATCAAATAGTAACACTTCCTGAAAGTAAAACGATAAATTATAAAATCAAATTAAAGAGATTGATTGAAGGATAAATGATAAGATGTTATAATTATCATTTTTCTTTACATTATTAATGTCCGTTACTACGTAATCTTTTATGTAAGATAATATAATGTTTTAGTTTTAATGATTGATAGGTTTTAAGTATTATTTTATAAATTCTGTGATATTAAATTTCCACGCGAGACGTGAGTAATTTTATTGGTACATTCACAATTCATTATCTTTCTTGGCTTCATTTCCTCCGCTCTTTATTTTTGTAGAGGTGGATGCAGCTCATAAACAATAGGTTCAACTAAACTCATTACTATCGAAAAAAAAATTATAAGTTGATTTAATTTTGATTTGGGCTTATTTGAGTTACTAATATCTATGGGCTATAACCCTTAATGGACCAAACCACTAATCGGTTTTTTTATTCCTGATTTGACTCCGATTATCGATTTGGTGCGGTTTATTTGTTTTCCTCGTACACCTCTACTGTTAAGCTATAATCAATTGATCTTAGAATATATAATTTTTTATATAAAAAATCGAGTCCAATTATCAAATAAACAAACCTTCTCACTACTTAGTAGCAACTTAATCTGCCTATATATATTTGTGTAGCCTTTTCTTAACTTCACTGCCAACTTTCTCTAAAATTGTTTGATGCTAAACATGGGGTCTAAGCAATTCTCATTTATGCTCTTTCTATGTTTCTGTGTGCTTTCTTTTACTTCAGCCATACTTCATCCGTGCCGCAAAGATCAACGCGCCGCTCTTCTAAAATTCAAGAAACCACTCACTCTAGATCCCTCATTAGTTACTTGTAGTTCCTACTCTTATACGAGTTCATGGAATAGGAGAAGAGATTGTTGCTCGTGGGATGGAGTCATATGTGATGAGATGACTGGCCATGTGATTGAACTTAATCTCAGTTCCAGTGGTCTTGTAGGAAAGATTGATTCCAATAACAGCCTCTTCCAACTCTCTCGTCTTCAAAGGCTCGACCTTTCTTCTAATAACTTCTCTAATTCTCACATCTTGCCTGAACTTCGAAGGTTCTTGAGCTTGACACTTCTTGATCTTTCTGACTCCTATTTCTCAGGTCATATCCCCTCTGAAATCTCTCATCTTTCTCAATTACAGTCTCTTCATTTCTCCCCGTCATTTGAAACTATTCTAAGACTCATAGCCCATGATTTGAAATTGCTCTTTGAGAATTTGACTCAATTAAGAGAACTTGAGGGGGCAATTCCGCAATGTTTGGGTAATATCAATGGCCTCGAGGTTCTGGATATGCACCACAACAGTCTATCAGGGACTCTTCTTGGAAGTGCACTCAAAAGCTTCAACTTTTATGGCAATAAGCTGGAGGAAAAATTCCACAATCCTTGATCAACTCCAAACAACTCGAAGGAGACAATCACCTCATGGACACATTCCCTGTGTTGTTGGGGACTCTGCCAAAGCTGAAAGTTCTAAGCTTGAGGTCCAATAAATTGCATGGACCCATTAGAACTCTAACGAGTCAAAACATGTTTCCTCATCTTCAAATATTAGATCTCTCCTCCAATGCTTTCACAAAAAACATACCATCGGGTTTGTTTCAACATTTTAAAGCCATGAGGACAATTCATCAAACGATGAATGCACCAAGTGATGAATGGGATCGATATTACCAAGATTCAGTAGCTCTGGTAACAAAGGGATTGGATCTTGAAGTTGTGAGAATCTTGTTTTTGTATACCACTGTCGATCTTTCAAACAACAAATTTGAAGGACATATTCCAAGTATTATGGGAGATCTTACTGCACTTCGTGTGCTAAATATATCTCATAATGGATTGAAGGCCGCATACCGCTATCACTTGGAAGTTTATATTTGGTTGAATCATTGGACCTGTCAGGTAACCAACCATCTAGTAGGAAAGATACCAGCAAGATTTGTTTCTCTTACATCTCTTGAAGCCTTAAATCTCTCCTACAATCATCTCGAAGGGTGCATTCCTCAAGGAAATCAATTTTCTACATTTGAGAACAATTCTTACAAAGGTAATGATGGATTACGTGGATACCCTTTTTCGGAAGGTTGTGGAAGTAGCAGGATGCCAGAGACATACAACACAACACATATGCTAGATGAAGAAAGCAGTTGTACATTTCTGAATGAATTTAGGAATGGGATTCTTAGCAGGTGGACTTATTATTGGATTCTCCATAGCATATTTCATGATTTTGAGTTGAAATTCCAATTGGCTTTCTAGGATAAATGCTGAAGAGCTAGAATACAGAATCATTATAAGAAGACGAAAAAAGAAGCGAGGCCATCACAGAAGATGAAATAATTGAATTGGAGTTGTGTTAGAATCTCTCATAGACTAATGGCCATATTTAACTTTCTCAACATTGTAACAAACTAAACAACAAAATCCATTTTGATAAGAAAACAAAAACAATATATTTCAGCTTAATACATGAATTCTTCATTTGACATTGAGTATGAGTACATAGTCTGAATTCTCCAAAATACACCAAAATATTTAATCGGATATGCTCGTATAGGATACTCAAATAAATATGTATCCAATACGTACCCATTCCCTAATCCAAACAAACCATACAACTTGCTTATATATATATATATATTATTTTCTCTGTAACTAACTAGTTGTCTGTCTACCCAATATTATATTGGCTTCAAACCATGTAAATGTACAAACTAACACATCCTCTTTAGTCTGGAAGTGAAGTAGCTAAGGGAAATTATAAATCCAAGGACATCAGTATCCTCTGTTCTTTTGATAGAGACGATGAGCCGGCTTCCACGATCTGCATGGAGTGATACGAGTATGTCAAAAGACGCGACATTCCTTTTGTTATACATCAAGAGTTGATTGCCAACCAAACTAAGATAAGTTGAAGTAAGAAATTTCAAAAGGATTTAAGTTATACATCACGTGTAAAGAAATGTTACATCGTCAACTCAATTCAACAGGTTATATTAAGTTATTACTCTATTTTCTGGGTTATCATATCAGATTTGATATAAAACGTTTCATGAAGAGTTGCCTCATTTTAAAGGTCAACTTAGCATTGACTTCAACTCTTGGGATGATTATGAGAGATGCAATGCAGACATTAAGACGTCCAAAATTAAAAATAAAAACAATAATGAAAACAAGTATTCACTTATATAAAAAAAAAAAGAGAAAGAAGAGCTAATGAAGGACGATCATCCACATAAACAGATCTCACTAAGCAATATCAATAAGATTTTCCGTATATAGAAAAGAGATTGAAGGTAACCTTAAAACTGTGTTTTTGGTATAATTCCTGGCCAGGTATGTTGTCTGCATTTACATGAACAAATAGTTGCTTGAAACCTGCTTGGACATGCAAAAATAAGATTAGACATAGTTCAGCGAAAATTAATTACAAGGGATGGCAATTCTGAACTGGTAGATCATAATGAAGAGCACATTAAATAGTTTAAAGCTGAAACAAGATACCTTCTAATGCGGCCATATTAGCAGCCAAATGTATTATATTTGAAGCAATACCCTGACGACGAGCAAACTTTGCAACACAAACATTTGCAATGTATGCATATAACATATTTATGTGAATCAAAGGGTTCTTGATGTGCCATGACAACTGATAACCTTTTGATTTCCTGGAGACCATGAGAAGAAAAGGAATTCAGTAGTGATAAATCAAATACAGTTTTGATGATCGACACAGTGAACCAGGTTCACCCTGCAAAGCTTATCATTCAAATGATAAATAAACTGAAATAAAAAAGGAAGAGTTCTCGCGCTAAAAAGAAAGTTGAGTCGGAAAGGGAAAAGAATCAGCAAAAGAAGTCCTGCATGAATAAGGAGACATGGCAAGCCAAGTTATAAAAGGAAAAGGTTTACAATTAAAAGAATCGAAATTCTTTCTGAAAAAAACTATAATTCCTCTCCTTATATAAGTCGGAGTCTATCATAGTTCAGAGTCTATAAAAGGACAACGAGCCAGATAGAAGAATTTGTCTTTGCATAATTCAGAAAAGAGAGAACAAGAGAAAGAGAGATAGCGAAGGCCAAAGTGTTCGAGAGGTATAAACGAAAGAATTCTAGAGTTAGAATTACTTTTGAATAGTTGAGTTGCATTGATCTGTCCTTGGATCAGTGTTTGTGAGAGTCTTGAGAATGTGTGAGAATTGTAAACAAGAAGTGGGTTTGACTTCTTGTGAGGGTTAGGGTTAGTAGAGAGATTGAGAGTTTTTGTAACCAAGAACCGAGTTTGACTTCTTGGAGAGTTGAGGGTGTTTTTGATTATAGTTAATCGAAAGGGTAGACGTTTAGAGATTAGATTCATCGATTTACTGAGTTGTAATTGTTGAATTAATATAAAACTCTGTGTGGTTTTTTCCCTTCATTTAATTAGGAAGGTTTCCACGATATATTGGTGTTACTGTCATTAACATAAGTATCTTGTGTGTATTATTCAAGAACCTGGTTTTTGAATACTGGGTAAGGTTTCTTCAATTGGTATCAGAGTAGGTCTTTTCGTTACGAGATTCACATCTTAAAAGGAATCAATGGCAGCACCACTTACCCCACAAGAAGGAGCTTCTCAAACTCGACCACCATTGTTCAATGGAAAGTACTATGGATGGTGGAAAAACTGTATGATGGATCACTTGATAGGCAAAAATCCCAATCTTTGGAGTGTAGTTCTGGATGGTCCTACTATACCCATGAAGAAGGGAGACGATGGAGTCACGATGGTTCCTAAGGAAAGAAAAGAATGGGATGTTGTAGACAAACTTGCTATTCAAAATAACGCAAAATCCAAAAAGATTCTAATTTGTGGCATAGGACCAGACGAGTATAATAGGATTTCATCATGTGAGGATGCAAAGTCAATTTGGAAAACTCTACAAACTGCACACGAAGGTACAACTCAGGTTAAGAAATCTAAAATCGACAACTTGAATAGACAATATGAACTATTCAGAATGATGGAAGGAGAAAAAATCCAAGATATGCACACCAGGTTCACTGCAATCATTAATGAGATTTATTTGTTAGGAGAAGTAATTCCAAATGGAAAGGCTGTCAGAAAACTCTTAAGCGTTCTACCAGAATCCTGGGAAAGTAAAGTAGAGGCCATTACTGAAGCACGTGACCTAGATAAACTAGCCATTGATGAGCTCATTGGAAATCTCATAACATATGAACTAAAGAAAAGCCAAGAGAGGGAAATATGCAGTAAAAGAAAGGAGAAGAACCTGGTTCTTAAAGCCACAACACCTGAAGATTTTGAAGATGAGAATATTGCACTTATGACAAAGAGGTTCTCCAGAATGTTAAAAAGGGGACAAACATTTCAAAGAAGAGGTCCTCAAAAGACAGCTGAATACTCCACTCTGGGCCTCAGAACATAAAAAGAATAATCCAGACTAAGCAAATGATGGTAAAGGTGACAAATATATTCCTACAAACAGGAGAATGACTAACCAAGAGGCTGATATCTCAATGAATAAAGCATTTGCTGCAATGGGAGGCATGTCAGAAGATGAGTCCGAAGATGAGGAAGTTGAAAATCAATCCCTACTTGCAATAGAGAAAACTGACAAATATGACTTTCTTGCACTAGTAGCCATAACTGAACCAGGAGAGAAGGAAAATAGTTGTCAAACACATGAAACAATTCAAGCACTGATGGTTGAATCAGACTCTGAAGAAGAAGAAGAAGACATGCATGACCAGGTTAGTCTACTTCACATTAAAGAAAATCTTGACTCTTAACTCAAAAAGAAAACTACAATCCTTATTGCATAATCTTATAAACGCATATCAATCAACCTGTTCTGAAAAAGACCTGTTAATGGAAGACTATGGATCTTTAAGAGAAGAAAATGTGAACTTAGAACAACAAAACTGTCTTCTGCATAATAAGCTAGAAGAATTGAATAAAGAGTTTAAATCCATACCTGTAAAAATGAATATCTACAAAAGAAACTTCACATGACCAAAATGGAAGTAGAGCATAGCATGAGATGGACCAGGTCCTCCATACTTCTCGATAGCATCCAAAAGAGTCAATCTACCACAAAACATGGAATATATTTTTCTGAAACAAAGAATCCCAACATAGATTGTTTGTGTTCTCACTGTGGCCTTATAGGACATAAAAGTTATGCATGTAATGAAAAACAAACTGCACATAAGAAAAATTTCACTTTTGTGCAAAAAACACAGGAAGAGAATAACATTAAACCTATTCCCACGCTCAAAACCCTCCCATAATGGGCTAAGAAAAATCTTATTCATCCATTTTCTAACAAACAAGACCCAAGTGGATCTGGGTACCCAAACCTAACTCTGTCTAATGATTGTAGGATTCAGTGGGAGAAAAGCTAAGACATTGGTACCTGGGCAGCACATGTTCCAGGCAGATGACTGGAGATAGAAACAACTTCCTCTCACAAAAAGATTTTAAGGGTGGAAACGTAGCCTTTGGGAATAGAAAAACTGGAGAAATACAAGGAATTGGAAAGGTGGGGCTCAACCTCAAACAAGCAATTAACAATGTGTATTATGTGAATGGATTACAACACAATTTGCTAAGTATATCTCAAATGTGCAACCAAGGAAATAAAGTGATATTTACTACTGATGAATGTAAAGTGGTAAACTCAACCACAGAGGAACTGGTTCTCCTTGGAAAAAGGCACAAAAATGTATATAAAACTGAGATAATGAGTCCAGAAAATTCACCCACCTGCCTCAGTGCCATCACTGAAAACTCCTTTCTCTGGCACAATAGGTTGGGGCATATTAGTTTTTCTACAATTAACAAATTAATATCAAAGGAACTGGCTAGAGGATTACCTGAAACGAAGCTTAATAGTGAACAAATCTATGGTGCATGTGCTCAAGGTAAACAGATAAAATCCTCTTTCAAACCAAAGGCAGTGGTTAGCACAACAAAACCTCTAGAACTGCTCCACATGGACTTATGTGGACCAATGTGCGTGCTAAGTAAATGAGGCAAAAGGTAATTTTTTGTAATTGTAGATGACTATTCTAGATTCACATGGACCATATTCTTAGCAACAAAGGATGAGACATACGATATGTTTGAAATATTTGTGAAACTGGTTCAAAAGAAATTCAGTAGTGAAGTTATCAGCTTCAGATCAGATCATGGATTAGAATTTGAAAACTCCAAATTCCTAAACTTCTGCACTATCAATGAAGTTGATCACAATTTCTCAGAACAAAGAACTCCTCAATAAAATGGTGTGGTGGAACGGAAGAATAGAACATTAGAAGACATTGCTAGAACCATGTTGATATCAAGCAATCTACCGAAATCCTACTAGGCTGAGGCAATAAACACTGCATGTTATCTTATTAACAGATGCATGATAAGTTTGATACTAAATAAAACTCCATACGATTTGTTGAAAGGAAGAAAGCCGACTTTAGCACATCTTCGACCTTTCAGATGTACCTGCTATGTGCATAATAATGGAAAAGATACCTTGGGTAAATTTGATGCCAAAAGTGATAAATGAGTGTTCCTGGGATATTCAAGTCAAAGCAAGGCGTACAAAATACTCAAATCCTGTAGAAGAAAGCATGCATGTTATTTTTTATGAAAGGCAGAACCAAATAAATGGAGGCATGATAGACCATCTTAATGATCTGGGTATGACTCAACCGAAAACACCAGAGGAAAACCAATCAGATGAGGATGGAACTTAGGAACAAACTGTCAAATTAAGTCTCATCATCCATGAAACTGAAAATACACTTGAGGGAGAGGAAAAAGGTGAACCAGGGCCATCAACATCTGACACTACTCGAGATGCTCAACCAAATAACTGGAAACATCAAAGATCTCATCCAATACAGAATATTCTCACACCTTTGGACTCAGGAATTCATACTAGATCAAAACTAAGGAATATGTGTGCCTTCTCAGTATACCTATCACTTGTTGAACCCAAAAATATTAAAGAAGCTCTGGCAGACCCAGACTAGATTATAGCCATGGAGCTGAGTCAGTTTGAACGAAGCAAATTTTGGAACCTGGTTCCCAGACCACATGATAGAATTGTGATAGGCACTCGATGGGTTTTAGATATAAGCTTGATGATCAGGGAAAAGTCACTCGAAACAAGGCAAGACTAGTTGTACAGGGGTATAATCAAGATGAAGGAATTGACTATGATGAAACATTCGCACCCGTAGCAAGGATGGAAGCAATACAGATGCTTATAGCTTTTGCTGCTCACATAGAGTTTAAACTATACCACATGGATGTAAAAAGTGCCTTTCTAAATGGATACCTCCAAGAAGAAGTATATGTGAAACAATCTCATGGTTTGAAGACCCTGATCATCATGAATTTGTCTATAAATTAGACAAAGCACTATATGGGCTAAAACAAGCACCAAGAGCATGGTACAATCGTGTGTCCAACATGGGTATTCAAGAGGAAAAATAGATAATACACTTTTTCTTCGAAGACAAGGTAATGACCTCCTCATTGTTCAAGTATACGTAGATGATATCATATTTGGAGGAACAGATGTTGAACTTGGAGTTGAATTGGCAAAATTAATAAGCAGTGAATTTGAGATGAGCATGATGGGTGAATTAAATTTCTTCTTAGGTCTTCAAATCAAACAGTCCTCATCGGGGACCTCAATACATCAACAAAAATACATTAAAGAATTGCTACAGAAATTTGAGATAGATGAGGCCAAATCAATTGATAATCCCATTGGAACAATGACCAAGCTTGAAAAGGATGAAACTGGTTCCTAGTAAACAATACCAAGTACAGAGGAATGATTGGGTCACTCTTGTATCTAACTGCCAGTAACCTGACAGTGCATTCAACGTGGGGCTATGTGCTCGATTTCAGTCTCGTCCAAAAGAATCTCATCTAAAAGCAGTGAAAAGGGTACCTAGATATCTTAAAGGGACACTAAACCTGGTTTTATAGTATCCAATAGGAGAATCCTTCGATCTAATAGGATTTGCAGATGCAGACTATGCAGGTTACCTGGTGGATAGAAAAAGTACATCTAGAATGACTCACTTCCTAGGGCCTTGTCTCGTCTCCTGGGCAACAAGAAAACAAAATCCAGTCACCCTCTCCACTGCTGAGGTTGAATATGTGGTTGTCGCATCTTGTTGTGCACAACTATTATGGATTAAATAAAAACTGGAGGATTTTTGAATTAACGCAGGATGCATACCCATCATGTGCGACAACACAAGTGCAGTCAATATGGCAAAGAACCCGGTCAAACATAAACGAACCAAACATATAGATATCAGGCATAATTTTCTCCGTGACAATGTTGAAAAAAGGTTCATCATCATGACTTTCTGCAAAACTGAGGACCAGGTTGCTGACATCTTCACCATAGCCCTTGGACATGAACCTTTTCAGAAGAATCGTTTAGCCTTAGGGCTGGTGTTTCAAGATTAACACATGCCCTCATGACACTCTCATGCTTATCTTAAGTAAGGTGATCTATAAAACCATAACACTTGTTCACTTCTAACTCATCTTGGTACCTGTTGTAGGTATACAACCATATGAAGCACAACATGTTGATAAAAAGTCTAATGATATTACCCTTAGTTTCTTCTAGCCCTGGTACATGACTGCTCATATTGCTAGGAATAGGTTCTCATCTCACCAGGTATGCACTTAATTCTCCTTTGTATTCATCCTTTGTATTCATCTTTGCATTGCACTTATATACCTAACCTTGTCACACTCTTAAAAGAACCTGGTGCACTCAAATGTTCTCCCATACAACCTTGATGGTTTACGCGGGAAATAAAGATGACCCACCATTTAAAAACCTCATCAATTTTTTATATACACCTCCCCGGGCACTTAACCGTCACTCACGCCTCCCATCAATGTTAGACTATCATCATTACATCTCATTTCCCAAGATTTCTTTCCAAACGTTGTCCACCACCTCCACATTCCACTAATCCCAAACACTCCAAGACTAATCACACTATAGATTTCATCAAACCAAAAGAAAAAAAAGGCAAGCAGAAAAGCATGGCTTACCCCCGTCGCTTACTCAGATGACGAAAGTTCCTCCGACTCATCGGCACACTCATCGTTACCAGCGTCACCCATCGTATCATCTTAGGGGGAATGTGGGTTCTCAACTGATACTTCACTACAAACCCATTGCCAGAATCTCCTCAGAAATCCCCCTTGCCTACTCGTTCACTATCTCCACTGCCGGCATATGCCTCGGGCGACCCCCTTCACCATCGCTGCCCACTCCGAAAACCCCATTCCTCACTACTTGATTCCCCACCGCTATCTCCAGTTGAAACCCTAATTCCCACTATCACACCGACCCCTCCTCCACCACCACCTACTAACCCTAGTGACCCCTATCTTGACGATATCTCACTCAGCCAGCTTCATCCCAAGATCCCCCGATGACCACAAAAACACATTGTTGTCAAGAGGACTCACATCCATGTCCCATTTACTCGAAGTGTGAGTCAGGCTTAGATGAAAGAAGCAGCAAAATCTATTAAGAAGCGAAAATGAACAAGTAAGTCTCTGGTTCCCCCGCCCTCCTCACCCGTCCTTCTGGATTCTGAAACTGAAACAATATTTGCATCCTCTCCTACGGCTAACTCTCCCCAATCCACCAAAATTAACAAAAATCTGGCCAAGTACATGGCCTTGGGAAAGGAGAAATACTTTGGGTCCAAGAAGGTTCTTAGGGGTCGAACCTTTCATCCTAAAATTCGTACTATTGGGGTAGTCTTAATGGTTTTAGAACTACTTAACTTTCAGGGATGGGCTGATTTGTTTCTGGGCACTAGGGTGCCTTTGTATGAAAAGGAGGTGCGAGAGTTCTATACCAACCTTAATGTGTTAGAGGGATCGGTGGTCACTTCCACTGTCAATGGTGTGGAACTGGTGTTTGATTCTGTTAGACTTGGTGAAATATTTCATATACCCACTATTAGGTTGTCTGAGTATGTATGGACTCGAGATGTTAATTGTTTGTTAACTTCCAAGTTTTCTCAGGGCAGGGTTACGCCTAGGGATAGAAAGGTCCTCAAAGGGGAGATGTCCCCATTCCATAAGCTAATGTTTGAGTTGGTCCATAAAGGTATTCTGCCTAGGGGTGAGCGACGACATGAGGCTTCATTTAGGGATATGGGGATTGCTCATGCACTTGAAAATAAGGATCATATTGACTGGACCTCCCTAATGATTAAACAAATGGCTAGGGTGATCGATCCTAAACCTGGTGCTCATTAATTAGCCTTTGGAAATCTTCTCACCACTATGTTTAGGGCTTTTGATATACCTTTGGGTAAGGGTAGAGCTTTGGTAAGCTGTGATATGATCACAAGACCCGTTCTTGCTACCTGTCGATTATTGAATGAAGGAAATCAAGCTCCTGCTATTCCACCTCGTGTTCTTGGCCTAGTTGCTACTCTGCTTAATGATTTTCACGCTGCTAGGGAACAGAATGAGGCTTTCTGTGCTAAACTTGAAGTCTCTCGTGATGTTTTGGTTGTGTCACAAGGGGAAGTTGCTCGTCTAAAAGATCATTTGGCGAAATAATAAAATTAATCCAATGCCAGTGTGGACCGTGTGCTTCAACTCCTTGCTCTGTCCCAACCTTTATCACATCCCTTTCCTTCAACATCTTAGCCAATCTATCTTTCCTCCTTTGATCACTGTTGATACAATGTCATGTTATTTTGTGTTTTTGCTTTTTGATGGATATTTTGGTGGGCCTCAAATTCTTATCTAGAATAATTTTTTTGTTAATTTTTTTACATAAAATTATATTATTTTGTTCTCCTTAACCCCATTCAAATAGAAAAAATCAATTATTTTTCGCTAACACTCATATTATTTATCTGTTTGAATTCTTTTTTTTCAAATCTTTGATAAGGTAGAGTAATAGTCGGTCAAAAATATGAATCAATAGTCGAAAAACGTTGAACTAAATAAATT